TCGGTCAGACCGGTCGGTCAAACGGTCGGTCGGTCGGTCGGTCAAACGGTCGGTCGGTCGGTCAAAGGTTCTTGACCGGTTATGACTGACCGATGACCGACCATGACCGACCGTTGCCATCCCTAATAACGGTTAACTTTACACGGAGAGTAAATGCATGATTAGTTAAGAATTTGTAAAAGTTACTATAGTTAGATCGTCATAAAAGATTTCTTACGGCTAAATTATCAGTAGTAAAGAAGGTACGACGTACAAATAAATAAAACAAGTAGGTTATGGAATTCAAGAAGATAATAAATATTTCCCACAAACTACTTGGATCAAATGATGGCATTTAATATTCAAAAATTAATTATAAATTTCGTTATTTATACTTTAAAATTTGTATATATCTTTGCTAACGACTTAAAATTTTTTAAATGTAAAAAATTTCCCATTTTATTCCCACGCGTCAAAATAACCGAAGAACCAAGTCGTCTAAAAGAAAGTAAGAAAACCAAGTATTAGAATTAGCTCAAACAATTAAAAAAAAAAGACAGTTCGCATCTAAGGAGAAAACATATTTTTTCAACAAAAAGTGCGAGAGAAGAAGAAAAGGAAGAGGAAGAACGAGGGAGAGACGAAAGGTACGAAGGGAAGTGAAAGGGCGAACGAAGGAAAAGGGAAGAATGAAAAAAAGTAAAATAGCATTCGAACTGCGGATTATATCACGTGATGCACGTGATACATAATTTATATAAATAAGAGCTTTCCCCCGAAATTTAAATTTTTTTTTTTTTTTTTAGATTAACCAACCCCCTACTATTAACAACTTACTTTATAAACTCCCCGCATACGCAGTGATGTATATCATAGACCAACCAACGAATGGACCGTCACTTGGGACGAATTTACCAACGAACGAATATATGGTAAAACTGTCGAACAAAGTTAAAGTTAATCACACCGGTGCACTATCGATTACGTACTGCGAACACTATACTGTATCAATATACCATTACAACACGAACAGGAAAATCATTTAACGGCAGGTTGCCAGAAACATGTACCACATTACCGCGTTTCGCGACTTACGTCCAAAATGTATAACATCAACTCTATTCAAATTATCGGTTCACACGAAACACTATCACCCGTATACCAATATCAGAGTTCCTAAAATGAAATCCATATTCCCGGTCTCCTCATTATTAACACTTAAAACCTTAGTTTTTATTTTAACGCATATAAATTATGGATCCTACTCCCCACGAGACTCATATAACCACTCTTTAAGAATAAAATAATGAACCTACGACGCAAGACCAATACAACAACCTTAATCTTAAAACTACGTCACCCTATCACATAGACCAATGTTTTATTGGATCTGAAGAACATCATAATTTTTTGAAATCAACATCACACAAAAAAAGATCTCAAATTCTATACCGACGGATCACTGATCACACGTACCGTTGATAATCAACGAGTTACCACGGATGGGCAGAAATATCATCACACCCTCTCCTGTCCATTACTTACAAAGGAAAAACCGTTTTTACACCATCTTCTTGTAAAGCAGAATGATATGGACTCCTAACGGCTATCATATGTTCTCCCGATCATAGTAACGTACACATCTTTACGGATTCTCAAAATATTATCTCTCTTATTACAAAACGGCAAACAAATTATTTTCAGAACGTAAAATCAACAACCACAGCATATGGCGTTTAGTTATTTTACTAATAGACTTGAAACAAATTAACCTCAAATTTACGAAGATCAAAGTCCTTACAATGATTTAGCGGATGAGTTAGCTAAACAAGATCACTTTAATAACGCCAACATTGTACCTATAGACCGCGATATAAGCAAATACGCCACTCATGTATCCGAAGCTTTTACATTTAATTCTTACACTCACAATAAACCACTACAACTCATGCTTAATCATTTTCAACGCACCGACATAAATTGGAATTTAACACGCATCACGAAATCATCCTGGACAAAGTCTCGGACAATACCATCACCTATTTCCTTGATGAAGATATTAACTATACTCCGATCTTCGACTCCGAACATGAAATTTACCTCCTCATAAACCAATTTATTCCCATTTCACTTTCGGATTTATTACACCGATATTTGCGGAAATTTTCACTAGTCAAACAAGTGTTAACTTCATTCCTCACTAACATCATGGCTCGTCTGGATAGACTCATTTGGAAGGAGCATATGTATAAACTCAAAGATTGGGAACACAGCCGAGGCATTACCACACGCAAGAAAAAATTATACTACGAGAGACACAAAAATATAAAGAAACAACGTACGATGGATCAATCTTTAATATTCGCGCGTCCAGATACCGCGCCAACGACCATGATCGCACACTTATCGCATGACTAGAATACAATGGTTGAAATCTTTCCAGTATAATGGCAATTTTGGGTTATATTACATCAAATTATTTACACACGGGTGGATGAACTTCCTTCTTAAATTCTTATAATGCTTCGGAACAATTTTATAGAATGCAATTTATTTTTTTTACTTTGTATTCTTTTTTTTTTTCTTTTTATGTTTTAGATAGATTTATTATTTCTTTATCTCCTGGATCTTACCAGTTACGATATAGAAAATAGAAATTAGGTCACGCCTCAAATTGTTTTAAATAACAGGCAGGACGACTCCGTGAAATCTTAATTAAGATCAGTTGCTAGATCACTATATTAATTACCCATGTTCTTCAAGACAATTCAATCGATGCTTCAAGAAGATGTAGTTCGATCAAAACTTATTGTAGAGGCTTAAAAAAGGTAGAGATCAAAGTTATCAAATCACTCCCAAGAAAATAGAGGGACACGTATGTCTAGCTATGGCTACGACCACGATCACGATCACGATCACGACCTCGACCCATATGTTGCCAATGTTGATTTCCAGCAGTTGAAATATCATCATCACTACTAACAGAACTTGAATCACTTGTATCATCTTCAGCATTCTCTTGAAGACATAAACCTAGTTTAGTATCTTCCTCCGGAAAATAGTCTTAAGAAAGTTCGTGCAGCTATCTACTTTCTTTAGAGACACATTGGGATTGCCAAGCGAATTACCATTTGTCGCGACGATCTTAGATCCCTGAATGAAAAGCTTCCTATTTGTGGAAGATTTACATCATGAGGAAAAAAACACGAGCTGAATCTCTTTAAGTAACCTCTATACTCAGCTCAAGCATGATTTGGAACTTCCAGAGGAAGCTAGATCACCCATTTTGGATGATGATGATGTTGATTTGAAAGGATGTGGGCCAGTAATCAACAGTTAACACAAACAGGTACTAATGATCTTGCGGTGTGATGAACCGAAAAGTACAGATCCTTTGGTATGGTGGAGGGTAGCACGCAATTCCCTCCACATCTGTACCAAGCGAACGGCTCTGCTCTGATGCTGGTAATCACATTTCTGCAAAAAGAACACTGATTGGCTCCCGATTTACTTGATCGAATTTTATATTTAAAACGTAAAATACATATTTTCCCATATTTCCACCAGATTTTAGTATAATATAGTTAGGAAAACGATGTATATACTGTATGAACAATATAAATAAAAATTTTATTACATTTATGGTCTAATCACAAAGGCCAATTCGGACAAATTTTTAGTTTATAGATGTGGTAATAAACTTATGGACGAAACGAATAAAACCGGATATAATAAATTCGGATGAAGCCATCTCCCGGTGTCAAATCCGAACCGGAGAATGTCGAAGGTCGGATCTAAAACTCTAGTAGAGACTTAATTTTAAATAGTAACTTTCGGAATTACGTTTAAAATAGAAAAATTTTAGGGTTAACTGAAAATTTATTTTTTCAAGATCAGAAGCATCACAGAATAATTTTTAGTGGATCACAATATCAATTTGAGTATTGATTTAGTAAGGCGATTATTTAACGAAAAAATTATTTTTTAAGTAGTTGATATTGTGAACCAACTGAGTAACTGATATTTTAAAAATTTAAGAAATGAACTTTACACGTATATATTATTTAGCTCGTAATTGTAATTTATTCAATATATGTAATTAATCACCCGCTATCTTCCCACTTACTAAAATAAAATAAAATAAAAATATCATCCCAATTACAATTACGATTCAAATTTCAAATCGTGAAGACAAAAAAAACCCAACCCAACGTTAAAATATTTCATTCATTTTTTATCTTCTTCTCCTACCACGACCGCGACCACGACCACGGCGACCACGGCCACGGCCACGGTCTCTTGCTTCTTTGTTAGGCAATACCCAATAATGCAAATAATACAAGTTCTCCAAATAACTGACGTAAAAGGACAAATTTGAAAAAAACAGGTCAAGTGTAAACGCAACGATAAATGCGACTGCCGACGTAAAAAATACGTGAAAAATTGTTGAGTGCTTCAAGTTGGTTAAGAATTCTGGTAACGACGACGTCATTTCTTTTTTTCGGTGAAATAGAGAAAATTACGTGATCGATATGCGGTTTCTTACAATAAATTTTATTCTTGTTAATAAGATGTTTTAGAGGTTATCTAGAGGTAAAAGTTGTTGTTAGTACAAGGAACTTTAAACAATAAATTTTGAAACACTCACGAGTCACGAGAAAATAACAAGACTCTTTTAGTTATTAAAAAATCTTATATTCTTGAAATAATAAATATAAGAAATAAAAATAAAAAATAGAAGAATATAAAATATATAACAAACGTATTATTATTTTGAATATAATAGTATGAGATATTAAAAATGTAAAACAGGATTAAGCGGTATGAAAGTATGAAATGAAAAAAAAAAAAAAAAAAGAAAAACAGAAAAAAAAAATTCTTTTATAACGTATATGACGTCACGCGGCGTGAAAAACTACCACCAGTCCACCACCTGATCAATCTGATCAATTACGTGTTATTTTTTTTTTGTAAATAAATAAAATATTAGTATTTTTCGGTCAGTTTTGTACTACCAAAATTTAGCCAGTAAAATTTCGAACTTTAAAGGAACGCGTGAAAATGTGTTTACCCCTTAATACCTCACATTTCTGATTGGATATTATTTTCGGTCGAACTAAAAAAAGTTAGGTTGAAAAGTTCGGAATTCAGCTGTGTTGCACAAACAGATCAGACCAATCAAATTAAACTTCAAACCGACCGAAAATTGGGCTATTTTATATTCTGTCTTGTCTTCAAACAGAAATAGAAATACCAATTATTTTTATTAATATTAAAAGAACAACAATAAATACAAATAAAGACTATTTTTTTATGGAGTATTAAATACAAGTATATAAAAGTGTTTTTCAATTCTTTGTTTGTTAAAAGATACGTCTTGTCTTAATTGTTAATTTTACTAATTTTTACGCTCCGAAATATAATGGTGTAGTTAGCCGAAAAATAATTAGCCGCAAGTCCGCAACGTTGATCCGGACCCAGCTCAGGCGTAGATCGTCGTGGAATCAGGGGATTTTCTGCGATTAAACCGGTCCGGATGATCGGCAATCAGGAATTCGGCTCCGCTTTTCGGCTAACTACACCATTATCGAAACAACAATTTCGTACGGAATTTGTTATTAACCAATAAAATCTACTATATATAACTCATAAATTAGTGTTGTATTCTATATACCGACCGATACATCGGGAATTTTTTTAAGAGATATATATGATATATCGATGAAAATGCCATGTGATATATCAAAATAATTGGACTCGTCGATGTGGGTAAATGACGATCAAATAACAAAATAAGTTAAATAGCGATAATTATTTTTTATAGTTATATAATATTAAATTGTTTTATTTTTACTTAGCGATATTTTTAATTGTTAAATCACGTTAAACTATCTTTTGTTAAAATAGTATGCCAAAAATAATCCTAAATCTACTAAAAAATATTTATACTAGTCCCATTACTTCAGAGCAAGAATCTACAAATAAATTTAAAGTTTCACAAAGAAACTTACCATTTCAAATCCTAGTCGATATTCTTAAGGACCCACCAAAAATAAATAAATAAATAAACGTTAAAAATGTTTTTAATAAAAATTAACTTTGAAACTTAACATCCAAAGCCCTCAATTTTATTGATATCAGTTTTCTCTATGGAAACTACATCCATCAGGAAACTAAGGTTTATAATAATTTAATAAAATTATCACTTTAAATATTTAAAGAAAATAAATAAAAAAAAAAATTAAAAAATTTTTTTCTGAAGAAAGAATCATCGCTACGATTATATATGCTATATATATATATTGTTGTTGTGTACCCAAGGAATCTATAAAGAATCAGGAATAGTTTCTTTACAATGAAAAATCAAATAAAAAAATTCGAAGTATGTAACTTTGAAACTCACCATAACGAAGAATCCGAAGCTGAATTCAATGCCGAAATCTACTGTACAATAGAAACAAGAAAAACAAATTCATTACAAAAACAATTTATATAAGTAGTTTATTGTTACATTGTTACAAAAATATCTTTTTTTTTTTATTTTAAAAAATTCCATTGTAGCATTAAAAAAATTACATCCTCCGTTGAAAAAAATACATATATATTGTTACCATATCTTAAAGAAATTCAATATAGCAATCTATTGTTATAGAAAAAAAAATATTTGACTAATTAATATGAAAAAAAAAAAATCCCAGAAAAATTGACCCATTGTGAAAATTGTTACAAAAAATAAGTAAGTAATTATGTTAGAGCTTGATACAACCTAAAAAATAATAATATTATTAATAATAAGAATCGGGAAAAAAGGCAATTTCCATGGCGCCGCAACATCGAACCGATCACCGATCCAACTCTAAATGGTGAAAGAATGTATTTGAGAAAAAAAAAATTCGGCTTGAAAGAAAAAAAGCCAAACCGAAAAAGGAAAAGGAAAAAATTTTTCGGATTGGAAAAAAAGCCAACCGGAAAAAACAAAAAAAACAAAAACGAAAAAAAAAAATTGGGGGAGGGACAAAGAGAAAAATCAGGTTGAAAAAAGAAACCAAAAAGGAAAGAAAAAATAATAAAAAAATTCGTAAGAAAAAGAAAAAAAAATTTGGGGAAAAGAAAAAGGATAAAGAAATCGGTTTAAAAAAAGGAAAATTTTCGAAAAAAAAAGGAATCCGAAAAAATAAAAAAATAAGTACCGAAAAAAATTCTGAAAAAAAAGGACAATAATTCGGTCTAAAAAGACCGAAAAAAAAATTCAAGAAAAAAATTAATAATACGGTCTTAAAAAAAAGGACCGAAAAAAATAATATAAAAAAAATCGGTCTTAAAAGACCGAAACAATAGGATTAATTAATAAAAAAAATAATATTAATAATTTTCGGTTTTGGAAAAATAAACCAAACCTAATTGGGGAAAGAATGAAAAAAAACAAAAAAAAAAAGAAAGAAGAAAAAAAACAAAAAATCTTTAAAAAAAGAAAAAAAAAAAAAAAGTAAAAGGTGTTTCAAAAGAGGAAATTTAGAAAAAAAGAAAGAACCAAAAGTAAAAGATCGGTTCAAGAAAAAAAAAATGAGATTTTTTAAAAAGATTAAAATTTCACTAACCGGAATTGGATTAGATGTACAGTACAACATTACTTGCCGATTAAGCTATAAAGAATACTGGATTTCATCAATAAAGAGCTTTGTTGATTAGTTTCGATATCGACAAAGTTAATATAATAACGGATAGTGAAACAGTATATAAAAGATATTACAAATTATAAGAGAAACAATTTTATAATATGAGAAAAATATTAAAAGAACAAAATTGTGTATTAATATTCGAAGATAAAATTAAATTACCGAAAGTAACGAAGATAAAGGCTCATGATGATAATGGATATCATAATCTGCTAGATAAAAAATTAAAGAAAAATACGAAGTTTATGATCGAACGTATTCGAGATTCGAAACATTGAAGGTTTTTTAAATTTAAATCGAAATTTAAAATATGTCAAGGAACACCGTAGTTGATACTATATAATAAAATTATTTCAATTAACCGTAATTAATGGAGATAATTTTTTTTGGTTCTAATGTAATCCTATATAAAAAATTATAATATTTGCGTACAATTGTATTTGTATACATTGGAAAAATACAATGTCTAATGTCTCGACTATATATCACTAAAATGATTTGATCATTAAATTCGTAATCATAATTTTATCATTGAAATTATGATAAATTTAAAGAATTTATTCATGCGTGAAGACTTTAAGTTCATTAACTTGTTGCTTTGTTCTTTGGATAATTAAAAAAATTCTGAGATTGTTTTGCGCAATTTTTTCAGTTTTACGCATCCTATAATTAAATTATTAAATTTGATAAACGACTATATTTATTGTTATGATATAACGACAACACGAAAAAAAAAGGTTTAGAAAATAGAACACGTGAAAAAGAATTAGAATTAAAAGTAAAAACCTTATAGAAGAAGAGGAAAGAAAATTCTTAAACAGCAAGTAATAATTTATAATTGTCACAATTTTTATTTTATTATTAAAATATAGACAATGACGGGAGCCATATAAGTTTGTGGGCTGAGCCCTTACAAAAGGAAACTACTACGCTAACACTATACCCATATAAACAGGTTATGCCTTACGGTGTTAAACAGTTTATACCCAACCTTCTCAAAGAAGGGATCGTACTGCCTATTATTGAAAAAAAACAACACTAAGCATTACCAGCATTGTACGCGAGTGAGAGAGAAACAAAGAGGGAGGAAGCGAAAAAAACCAAAAAAAAATTATATCTAACTATCCTATCTTCCATATTTTTCTTTCGTCTAACGACGCCGCAAAAAGGTCCAGTATTGACTATCATAATGAGGGCCGGGCTAAATCAATCGTGGGCTGGAGTCGTATTGATATAAAATTTGACGATTGAATAATAGATATTCACGTGACAAACAATCAAATTTCCCGGCTTGTGAATTCTGAATCAGCTGTTAAACTGTAATAATGTTGTACTGTCAGAATTTACCCAATTTATAATGGGAAAAAACCTCTATTTAGAAATCGGCAAAACCGGGGAAGTCAAAATATCGATCTGATCTTGAAAAAATAAGCATTTAAATTTGTAACTATTTAATTTTAAGGAAATATGCGACCCGTCAAAAAAAAAAGGATCAGAAATAATTGATTCGCCTAATTTATTATTGTACATCAATTTTCCTTTTTCCTTTTGGGTAACAAATTTTTACACGAACTAAGCCACCATAATATATTAGTACGTATTAGTCGTATTATATTATTTTACGTCATTTGCATAACAATTAAAAAAAATTTACTTTTTTTTTGTCAAAACTCTGTCAAATGAAACTGGCTTTAACGAAACAAATATTGATCGGTTAGAATCAATTATTGAAGAATATTTAAATTATTATGAATATTCCGAATTTAATAATATACAATCAATAGGAAATGGTTCTTATGGTAGAGTCTTGGAGAGATACTGAGAGATTGTTCGAGTATTGTTCGTTTTAAAAACTTTTAATGATAATAAATTAACGTTGAAAGAAGTCATAAATGAAGTATATATTAGAAAAAAAATGATATTTGTTTTTATATACATCTGTTAATTTAACTTTTTTTTATAGACTGATAAAGCTACATAAAAAAGTTGATTTCCAAGAAAACAAATTACGATTCTATGACATCACGAAGGTAAGTTTTAACATGTACCTATTATTTAAGTTTCCTTTTTTTTTCAACGATTTAATCTTTTTTCGCTTATTATAATATATTCAGATGTAATTCGAAAATATTCATTGGTCTTGGTATATGCTGATAG